ATCAGGAATAACACCAAGAGAATTTGGTAAATATGTTTTGCAGAAATCCATCTGACCACACTGTTGGAATTATCTGCACCTGGATAGAATGATCCTAGATTGTTTGAAGATCATGCTGGTATATTCTAAAATGAATAGTTTTATTAATAGGATAGGAAACCGATCAGTCCCAGGTTATAAGAAATCAGGTTAGTTAGGTTAATTAGACTTTGTTGCAGGAAGATCATATTTGAACCTCTAAAGTTATAACATTGTTGCTGCTAAGTTTCTGACGTCCGGATAAATCTTCGTAAACCCACCACAAGTTTTGAGTGCAATATAAATCTGATAAGTTGAGTTATTTCGCTATAAAGTAGTTTGCCTAGAAGAAGGTGGGATTGAGACCGTAGTTTTTCAGTAGTAAAAGATGTAATGAGATAATTGTAATTTGCTATCCTACATGCAACTTCCACAGTGGTAATCAGGTAAGCATTCTAGTTTTCCCGAGTGGATCCCGATAACACCCTGTATAGATACATAACATGCACAGCACAAGATATTCAACGGAACTCTTGCGACTCATCTCGAGACTAAAAGCGCAAAGTTACTGGTAGTTTACCAACAATAAACTTGATACAAACAAAGCTAGGAATATTTCCACAGAATAGAGTAATCAATATACACGTAAAGTCCACACACAGTTCTTATTAGTTTACAATAATTGTTGTTCATAATAAGTTTTTTATTTTGATTTACACATTTCACAATAATTAGTCAGTTCGCTTTAGATTCGTTTGACTCACGGCAAATCAGAGTTTTGGCGCAACCAATTGCGGAATAAGGAAACCTTCGCGTAACCATCGGGATAAGTAGAGCCACAACCATTAACAACAAAGTTGCTCACACCAACCAACTGACCATTGTAGATAGCTGGACCACCAGAGTCACCATTGCAAGCACCATTACCTGCAGTGTGCGATAGGCAGAGCGTTGTTGTGTCTACATCTCTAAGGAAACGTTTACAATTGGCATTACTGAGGCTGCGCAAAGTGTTGTATTTAAGACGTGACGGCAATTCACTACCAGTGCGCACACGGCCAAAACCGGAGATGGTGACAGGGGAACGGTTGGGCGGTTCAGCGGTGGCCAACGGTATTGCCTGAATTTGATTATTGAAGGAGAG